AGTAGCACCAGCTGCCTGCAATTATTGCAAGTTCAAATCTCACCAGGCTCAAGGTTGACTCAGCCTTCCATCCTTTCGAGGTAGGTAAAATGAGGACCCGGATAGTGGGGGCAATAAGCTGACTTTGTATAAAAAAGAACACCGCTTAGGGTGGGGGCCGAAAGCCCTACTAAGCAGGTATATACAAAAAGTATGAAGACTATTGCTTAACGCATTGTAAGCTGCCCTGAGTCTCCGGAAAATGGCAGCATATAAATTGAACCAATAAATAAATAAACTCTATTATTCTATGTTCTGTGGAATGCTGCACCCACAACCTTTCAGATTTTAACAATCCCATTCCATCAGGCACCATTGCCTGCCATATTTGACCGGTGCCATTACCAGTTGCTTAAGCTATTCTACTATTTATTGTCAGTGAAAGGATCTGATCCTTTGTTTCTTTGGGGTTCTTTTTGGGCCGTTTCCTAGAACTCGTTCTCTTTTCTTTCTCCGCTTTGTATATTTTAGCACTCCAAAACAAACTAAATTCTCTCTCTCTCTCTCTCTCTCTGCATTGTTCCCCTAAATTGTACGGTGTATTCTCAACTGCCTGCTTCCCCCATCCAGGACCAGGAATTTCTCCCTCTTCCTGAGTTTAAACCAAGGTTATTTTTAGACGCCAAGATTTTGCAAAGCTTGGCAGGCAGCAGAGAGGAAAGAATTACAGGGCAAGAGACTGAAGAGAACAGATGTAATTTCATCTGCCTGGATAAATCGAGCTAAGGAAGAGGACCGATTTTTTCACAGCAATCTAGCCAGAGAATTTTTGATTGCCAGTGCAAGGATTTCTGTCAGATTAGAGGGTTAAAGAAGCTGCACTGGTTAACTATTAGTTTGGAAACCATTTCATCGAGGTAGAAACTGCTGTGGCTTGCACTCTGAAATTCTTGGTTTTCCTGAAATGGTTGCCAGAGGCTGCTAAATTCATTTTCTGGGTTCACATAATACTGTGAGTCATAAATGAACAAATAGGGGATTGGTACATCACAAAAAGCAGAAAAAGCCTGGTGAGATTTGAACTTGCAGTAATTGCAGGCAGCTGAATGTTAATGAATGTTAATAACATGTGTTAGTCTGCTGCACCACCAGGCTCTTTCTTCAAGTAAGCCTACCAGGGATCTCTTTCCTTGGAAATACACCACACCCACAGAAACCTACAACCTGTTGAGCAAGTTACCTATCCAGGTTAACCATCCAGAAGGCTGGGATTCAATCAACCTCAGCAATCCACTGGCCAAAACTGCTTGGGGAGAGGTTTCTTACAAAGGTAGGGAGAGGCAATCTCAAAACCACAGACAGATTGACTGGCTCTTACGCTCTAGAATGGGTGATTTGTTTTGTTTTTTGGAAAAACAAAGGCAAGAAAAATCCAGAATCCATAATTCTATCTGCCACGTTTTTAGCACCCTCTGGCGGGAAAAAACAAACAACCTTGACTGGATTCATTCACTCTGTGAATTTTTCAAGACATAAATCCCAGGAGGCCAATCCTGGCTAGTGAACTAGTAAACTAAGCCATTTTCCGGGCTGGCTTAACATATTTTTTAACATATTTTTAATTTTTAATTGGTTTGCTATCTTAAACCCGGGGCCAAATTAATATATATCCTTTTAATTGTTTTTTAATGTTTGTATTGTATGTTTTTATCTGGCTGTACACCGCCCTGAGTCTTTCGAGAGAAGGTGCGGTATATAAATTCGAAATAAAATAAATAAAAATAAATGTTTCCAGTGTAGTTTTTATCTTTCTTTTTCTTCCTTCCTTTTTTCTCTTTCTTTCTTTTCCTTTCTGTCTCACTTTATTTCTATTTTATCTTCTTTCTTTCTTTTCTTTCTTTTCTGTCTCTCATTTTATTTATGTCTCTTTCATTTTTTTTTCTTTCCTTTCTTTTCTGTCTCTCGTTTTATTTCTGTTATCTCTCTCGCTTTTCTTTCTTTCTTTCTTTCTTTCTTTCTTTCTTTCTTTCTTTCTTTCTTTCTTTCTTTTTTCTTTCTTTCCCTCTTCCTGTATCTCATTTTTCTTTTTATCCTGCCTGCCTATCTTTCTCTTATTTTGCACTGGGCATAATATGCCTTAATCCAAACGGGAAGAACTTGCTGGCTACCTACAGAGATATTTTTGCCTAATGGGAAGATCAAAAGCAGCCTTGAGTTTCTTTGCCTATTTAAAGCAGTCGCTTCGAGCAGGATGAAAAAACGCTGAGTCCACAGCGCAGAGACAAATGGATTGGGGTGTGTGGACTCTGCCACCTGTTAGACGTCTGGCTTCTCGACGGTGCTCCATTATTCAGCAATATTTGCTCTCTGAAAAGCAACCATTATTCGGGGCTCGTAAAGGCCAACCAGATCCAGTTCTCAGGGCAAACATCTCTAGGCAGTGTCTGGAGTTTTATATTTACCTACAGAGAAGAACAGAGCTTGGACACACTTCCAGCCATCTGCTCAACTGGCACTTTATCACCCAGATCTACTTGGCAAAATTGAGAGTGCCCGGCTGCCAATTGCACCCATTAAGTGCCCTTTGCTGCACTTGGTGGCTTAAAGCTGCTGCCCGGCTGATATAATTAAGTTGCAAAGGGAACTGAATCAGGTACAACGATGCTCCAAGCTGAGCCACAGCAACGCAATACGAGAGACCTGCGGTGAAAACTTAAAAGAGAAGCTGACATTGAAGATTATATTCTCAAATTCTTGCCCAATTTCTACGTTACTGGTTCTTACAAGGAGTGACATCATACCAATGGTCGTTCTTGTAACCAGAAAGCTTTGAAGCAATTTCGTTGCATTTGATTTTATTACAAGTTTCTAAAGCTCCGTTTCAAAAACCTTAGTAACGTGAAGATGTCTGGACTTCAACTCCCTGAGTTCCCCAGCAGACATGGGAGTTGAAGTCCATCCATCTTAAAGTGGCCAAGTTTGAAAAAAACACTCATCAATATGATTGGTTTAGTTGTGTGTATTTCTGTCTCGCTGAAAAAAAAATGCTCTCGGCACCAAATTTATACAACAAGGATCTTTTAATATATAAAAATCATTTCGCTTCCTCCAAATACAGATATTCCTCAACATACGACTACAATTGAGCCCCAAATTTCTGTTGCTATACAAGACAGTTGTTAACTGAGTTTTGCCCCATTTTACAACCTTTCTTGGCAATTTGTTAAGTGAATCACTGCAGTTGTTAAGTTAGTATCACGGTTATTAACTGAATCTGGATTCCCCTTTGAGTTTACTTGTCAGAAGATCACAAAGGTGATCACATGATCCCGGGACACTGCAATAGTCATAAATATGAGTCAGTTGCTAAGAGTCCAAATTTGGATTACATGACCATGGGGATGGCTGAAAAGTCGTAAGTATGAAAAACTGTCTTAAGTCACTTTTTTCATTGTTGTTATTGGGACCAAACAACATTCCTGGGTCAGCCAGAGACAGTTTTTATTGCGCAAGGTTCAGAGCCAGATTTGTACCTGAAACTTTGAACAAGGAAAGAGCTGTGATACCTCTGTTTTTATACATTTCTAAGACAAAGGATTCGGTGAGATCATGCATTTTCCATATATGGTTAACATGAGATCATACGTTTTCCATATATGGTTAACATACACTTGTTATATGATAATTGACACGTTTCCTAATTACTAAACCATTAGTAAACCATTATTTTTAGTTTATAAGATTATCTTAGCTACACAACTTTTCCTTAAGTGCTTGTAGTTGCTAATGAGAAATTTACTGCTGTCCTTAGGTAAATTTATTGGATTAAGTAACTCTTTGTAACATATATGTCCTTGTCTATGACAGTGGGGCCCCTCAAATGTTTTCCATATGGCTTGTCCTTCCGTGACATCTAGGTCTCATCAGAAGATATATTACCACTTAATGGGGTTTGGCTGATTTTTAATATAATCTCCAAGCAAGCACTTTTCTCTCTTATAATAATGTGAATAGAGAGGGTCCTTTAGAGATCATGTATCTGACTCTGTATGATTCCTATTTTATTCACATTATTATAACTTCAAATGGTCATTAAATGAATCGTTGTCAATCAAGGATTATCTTTATAAGTTTTCAACCAATAGGAAGATAGGAACAGACTCCTGAATGGCTTAAAATTCGGGAAAGGTTCCAGACACTCTTCCCAGGTGAGATTCACACAACATTCTTAACCTTCAACCGAAATCAATGAGCAACATTTCTTATAATCCCATCAAAAGCTCTGCCAAAATAAGCAAACCATCGAATGTGCTTCATATGTTATGATAATAGTTGGATTTCCACAACTGGCTGAACCATCAATTCTAGCGCCATGCAGATTCGATGGACAAACCGAGTTTGGGATCTTTCTTTCACGTGGAATAAATAAGCTGCATATAAGGTAAACATAACACCTATAACAACCTTCTCCAGACTCTGAGGCAAATGAGAAACATCCAAGATTGAATTTTGCAGAACCCAAAGGCATCAACAGGAAATGTACAGAATCCATCTAGGGAACAGCCTGGTCTTCTGCTTAGCTTTTTCCAGTCCGATCGGTACTGCGAACATTGGACCCAGATTGTTGTCTTGCCCTTCTGGACCCACAGGACGATTTGTGAGGTGTCGTGGGTGCTAATTAAGTGTCGTGTGGCAAAGAGTAACAAAAGACAAGGAAGTTTAGTCCTGGCCCGTTGGATCATTCAGAGAACATAGAATGATAAGAGTTGGAAGGGACTTTAGAGGTCTTCTAGTCCGACTACCTTATACCAGTGATGGCTAATTTTTTTGTTGTCGTGTGCTGAAAGCATGCACGTGTGTGCCGGCACCCATAATGCAATGCGCGCACGATGCCCCCCCGTGTGCCCCCCCCCACATATGTGTGACCCCCCCGTGCCCCGTTTTGGGCCTAGCAGACCACCCTGCAGCCTCCTGGGACCAAAAACAAGCTGCGGTGGGGGGGGCACGCCGCACCCCCCCATCCTCCCCCGTCCCCACACATGCATGCACGCATCTCCCGCATGTGCCACGCCCTCTGCGCATGCACAGCAGAGACCCGAAAATCAGCTGGCTGGCGGGAGGCGTGTGCGCATGTGCGATGGAGCTGAGCTGGGGCAACGGCTCATGTGCCCGCAGAGAGGGCTCTACATGCCACCTGTGGCACGCGTGTCGTAGGTTCGCCATCGCAGCCCTATACCATTTCAGAGAGATGGCTGTCCCATCTCTTCTTGAAAGCCTCCAGTGATGCCACAACTTCTGAAGGCAAGCTGTTCCATTGATGGATTACTCTCGCCTTTAGGAAATTTCTCTTTAGTTCTAGATTCAAAAGTCCCTATTTTGCCTTTTTTTAAAAATTAAACCTACATCCTTTCTTTCCCAGCAGGGCTGATGGTGCGATAATTTGTCAATCACCTTGATCTGCTCCTCTGCCCCCTTATACTCAGGTGACTGTGTGATGGCGTCTCCACAATCCAGGGTTGGGTTCTAAATTTTTTTACTACCGGTTCTGTGGGCATGGCTTATTTTGTGGGTGTGGCTTGGAGGGCATGGCTAGCTGGTCAGAGTCATTTCTGGAAGGTGCTCGCACTTACGACCAGTCCTCGCACTTACGACCCAACTCATTTGTTTGCTTTTAACACTGATCAGCTGTAGGGCGGCCCTTTGAAGCCCCCCCGCAAGAGTTTAAACAGTTTTTTTTCCCTCTAGTCATCAGCTGGGACTCAGGAGGCAGCAATAGATTGGGGGTGGGACCAAATAAAAGGTAAGAATAACGTGGGGGGGAGGGAGGGCAGGGGGGGAGAACCGGTTCGGTGACGTCATATCGTCACCGCTACCGGCTCGGCCGAACCGGACCGAACCGGGAGGAACCCACCACTGCCCCAATCACTGAAGGGCAGCTTAAGAGAAGGCTTCAAAGTTCTCGTAGCTGGTGAAATTCTGGAGGAGTTCTCTGATGTTCTGGAAAACTGGTCTTTGGTTGGGATCCAGGTTCCAACATTTGCACATGATGGAGTACATGACAGGAGGGCACCTGGGCGGGCGGTGCATCTGGAAGCCATTTTGAACCTTGGTGGAGACCTCCAAGTTACTCATGCCTGTAGAAAGAAGGAAAAATGCAGCATTATTTATATATTCCGCGTATGGCACGAAATACATGGATAGCAGTACACGTAGTCCTCAACTTACGACAACAATTGAGCCCAACATTTCTGTTGTTAAGTGAAATATTTATTCAGTGAGTTATGCCCCATTTTACAACCTTTCTTGCCACAGTTGTTTAAGTGAATCACTGCAGTTGTTATGTCAGGAACACGGTTATTAAGTGAATCTGGCTTCCCCATTGACTGTGCTTGCCAGAAGGTCACTAAAGGGGGGAATCGTTTGACCTCAGGATACTGCAACCGTCGCGAAATTCATGCCAGTTGTCCAAGCATCCAAATTTTGATCATGTGACCACGGGGATGTTGCAACGGTCATAAACATGAAAAACAGTCCTAAGTCACTTTTTCAGTGCCATTGTAACATTGAACGGTCACTAAATGGACCGTTGTAAGTCGAGGATTATCTGTAGTAAAGATGTATTGAAGGAACACATACTATTAATACATCTATGGATATTCTCAACCGTCCAAATCATGGTTGTTTCAAAAGTGCTTTTTCAAAAGGCAACGGGACTTTTTCCTTGGAAACATTTTGTTTCTCATCCAAGAAGCTTCTTTACTTCTGACTGAATGGTGGGCAATAGAAGGATTTGTATTTTTTTGGACCCGCTCTCAGGGTTGATCGTTAGCTCTCTAGAGTTGTGAGGAACCATAATAAATCATATGTCAAAAAATTGTGTAGCGGCTGTCCAGATGGAGACACGAACACAAAATTGTAGTCTTTTATATACTATATATGTGTATGTATGTATATATGTATATATCACGGGAAGGTTCTAAATTTTTTACTACCGGTTCTGTGGGCGTGGCTTATTTTGTGGGCGTGGCTTGATGGTCATGTGACAATTATTTAGGATTTAGCAGAGGTACTGGTCTACCAGGCTTTTAACTGCTTGCAGAGCTGTACCGGTCTACCCATTTATTTTTGCAGGCACCGGTCTATTCATGTATTTTTGCAGGCACTGGTCTACTCATTTGTTTTCTTTTAACACTGATCAGCTGTAGGAGGGCCCTTTGAAGCCCAGCGGCAAGAGTTTAAACAGTTTTTTCCCCTCTAGCCATCAGCTGGGACTCAGCCGAAACACAGACCACCCTCAAGACAGACACACACACCAACAAACTCCGAAGACTACAAGAACGCCAGAAACAATCCCCCCCACCCTCACAGCCACACATGAAACAAACAGTGCATAACATCTCAGATAGGATCCTCACCAAAGCCGAAACCAATGTCCTTTCCAAAGGATTCAACTTTGCAGTCGCTCCCAAAAGCATCCCCACTGAAACCATTATATGCGGAGTTGAAACCAGCCTGACCAAAATCAACCCCGACGATGCAAACAGAATCAGACTCGAAATCACCAATATCCTCTGCACCAGCAAGCCACCCAAAAGTAACTTACCCAAAGAGGAACAGACAGCACTACTTAACCTGAAAGAAGACACCAGCATAATAATCCTACCAGCAGACAAGGGCAATGCCACGGTGGTTATGAACACATCTGACTACCAAACCAAATTAACCAACCTACTCCAAGACTCCACATACAAACCCCTAAACACAGACCCCACCACCTACCTGGAAAAAACCACCAGATCCAAAATAAAAGCCTCCCCCATCAGCGAAGAGATTCAGCAAAGAATCATACCCAGAGAGAAATCATCCAGATGCCCTAAGCTTTATGGTCTCCCCAAGATACACAAAGAAGGAACCCCACTTAGACCCATAGTCAGCTCCATAGGCTCACCTCTACAAAACCTAGCCAAATTTCTCGCCAAACAACTACAGCCCTATGCAGAATCCATCACCTCATACGTAAAAAACTCATTCCAGTTTTATTTATTTATTTATTTATTAATTAAATTTCTATACCGCCCTTCTCCAATAGGACTCAGGGCGGTGCACAGCCAAGATAAAAACAAAGCATACAAAATTTAAGAACAGTATTAAAATAATTAAATATTTTGGCCGAAATTAAGATAACCCAATTTAAAATCAATTTAAAATTTAACTCAGGCCAGCCCAGCTTGTTGAAATAAATAGGTTTTCAGGGCCCGACGAAAAATCCGGAGGTCTGTTATTATACGTAACTCTGGGGGAAGGTTGTTCCAGAGGGTGGGCGCCGTCACAGAGAAGGCTCTCCCCCTGGGGGTCGCCAGCCGACATTGTCTGGCGGACGGCACCCTGAGGAGGCCCACTCTGTGCGAGCGTACTGGCCGGTGGGAGGCTATTGGTGGCAGAAGGTGGTCTCGTAAATACCCCGGTCCTAAGCCATGGAGCGCTTTAAAGGTGGTCACCAACACCTTGAAGCGCACCCGGAAGACCACTGGGAGCCAGTGCAGCTCGCGCAGGAGAGGTGTCACATGGGAGCGCCTCGTCGCCCCCATAATCCCCCGCGCGGCCGCGTTCTGGACCAGCTGGAGCCTCCGGGTGCACCCCAGGGGGAGCCCCATGTAGAGAGCGTTGCAGTAGTCCAGGCGGGAAATGACTAGTGCTTGAGTGACTGTGCGTAGAGAGTCCCGATCTAGAAAGGGGCGCAGCTGGCGTATCAGGCGAACCTGATAAAAAGCCCCCCTGGCCACGGCCGTCAAATGATCTTCTAAAGACAGCCGTGCGTCCAGGAGGACGCCCAAGTTGCGAGCCCTCTCCGTGGGGGCGAGTGATTCGCCCCCAATAGCCAGCGATGGCGTCAGCTGGCTATATCGGGACGCTGGAAGCCACAGCCACTCGGTCTTGGAGGGGTTGAGTCGGAGCCTGTTTCTCCCCATCCAGGCCCGCACGGCCTCCAGACACTGGGACATCACTTCAAGGGCATCGTTGGGGTGGCCTGGGGTGGAGATGTACAGCTGGGTGTCATCAGCGTACTGATGGAACTCCACCCCAAAGCCACGGATGATCTCACCCAGCGGCTTTACATAAATGTTGAACAGAAGGGGCGAGAGGACCGACCCTTGTGGCACCCCACAAGCAAGGTGCCTCGGGGTCGACCGCTGCCCCCCCGTCAACACAGATTGCGACCGGTCAGAGAGGTAGGAGGAGAACCACCGCAGAACGGTGCCCCCCACCCCCAACCCCGCCAACCGGTGCAACATGATACCATGGTCGATGGTATCAAAAGCCGCTGAGAGGTCTAACAGGACCAGGACAGAGGAGCAACCCCTATCCCGAGCCCTCCAGAGATCATCCACCAACGCGACCAATGCCGTTTCCGTGCTGTACCCAGGCCGGAAGCCGGACTGGAGCGGGTCTAGATAGACAGCTTCATCCAGGTACCGGGGAAGCTGTTGCGCCACCACACTCTCAACAACCTTCGCAACAAAGCGAAGGTTGGAGACTGGACGATAGTTAGCCAAAACAGCCGGATCCAGAGAGGGCTTCTTGAGGAGGGGACATAGACATCATAAAGCAACAAAACTTACAGCCCAGTGACCTACTCGTGAGCTTTGATGTCATATCCCTCTTCACCCAAGTACCAATCAAAGAAGCCTTGACAGTTATCCAAAACAAATATAACCCCCCCCAGCACATCTTAGATCTGACCAACCACTGCCTATCCAACACATACTTCATCTATAATGGACAGAAATACAAACAAACAGAAGGAGCACCCATGGGATCACCCCTCTCACCTGTCATTGCCAACCTCTATATGGAATACTTTGAAACCCAAGCTCTAGAAAAATCCGATCACAAACCCAAACTCTGGCTCAGATATGTGGATGACACCTTCATAATCTGGCCACATGGGAAAGAAAAACTGGACAACTTCCTCACACACCTCAACAGCCTACACCCCAAAATACAGTTCACCATGGAAACAGAAGTGAACAACCAACTTCCCTTCCTGGATGTCTTAGTCTACAGAAAATCCAATGGCTCCCTAGGACACACTATATACCAGAAGAAAACACACACAAACCGCTATCTGCACGCACTCTCACACCACCACCCTGCCCAGATCAACTCTGTAGCCAAGACACTCATTTCCAGAACAAAACGCTTAGCTGACGAACAACACCTAAAAACCGAACTACACACCCTCACTAACGTACTCACATCCAATGGATTCCAAAGAAATAAGATCACCAACCTAATCCAAAAAGAAACCCCCACTAAAATCCAAGACAGAGAACAAGAAAACGGCAAGGCCCTCCTCCCATACATAAAAGGCACCACAGACAGAATAAGCAAAATCCTCCACAAACATAACATCAAGACAGCATTCTGCTCAAACCGAAAAATATCCACCATCCTAAGGAACCCCAAAGACAAAATTGAGTTAGAAAATCAAGGAGTATATGAAATCCCATGCACCGCCTGCCCCACCACATACATCGGACAAACCAACAGACGAATAAGTGCACGCATAGAAGAACACAAGAACTCAGTCAGAAAAGAGGAACCAACTTCTTCCCTGGTCCAACACCTTAAAGCCACAGGACATGATATTGACTTTAAAAAGACCAGAACTATCGCCAAAACTGAACACTTTAACAACAGAATAATCAGAGAAGCCATTGAGATAGAAAAACGCCCACACAGCATGAACAAACGAGACGATACCTCCCGCCTACCAGCCATTTGGAAACCCGCCCTTATTGACAAACGAGTCCCTAACACGACGAATGACACCAGACCCACACTCACGAGTGCCACACCTGATGTCACCACCACACATCCACGCAGAAACCAGACTCAAACCCACACTGATAATGAGCCACGACCAAGGACCAGAAGCCAGACCGCAGCTGCATCATTAGCCACTTTAAACCCCTCCAATCCATACATGAAGCAGACTGACACCGACCATGAAGAGCTCGCACGGCCACAAACACGAAGCCAAACAACAACAACGCAGCTCACCAGCTCAAATCCCCCTGCAACTCAGACTAAGCTGAGCACAACCAAGCCCCCACCCAAACAGAACACAACCCCAGCCAATCAGAGCACAGCCAAGCCCCTAACCAATCAGAACACACCTCCACCCAATCAGAACACAGCCAAGTTCCCACCCAATCAGCTCACACCTCCACTAGCACTTAAAAGGAAGAGACAGCTGCGATCTCACATTGCTCCTGGAAGCACGAAGCCGAGAACACCAGCCTGAAGATGACGAATGAGACTTCGTCGAAACGTCGCCAAGACACTTCCAATTTTACGTGGGAGAAGACCCGAATAACCAAAGACCTACATACAAACACCCGCGAAAACCTGAGAAAACAAATATATATATATATATATATATATATATATATATATGTGTGTGTGTGTGTGTGTGTGTGTTTGTGTGTGTGTGTGTGTGTGTGTGTAATCTAAAATTTGTTACTACCGGTTCTGTGGGCGTGGCTTGGTGGGGGGGTAGGTAATGTGAGTGGGTGGGCATGGCCAATTTTTTTTTTCTTTTAAAACCATTTTTTCTACAATCTCTTCGGCGAAGAGCGTTGTAAAAAAATGCCTTCAAAAGCCTCTGCCGATCAGGCAACTCAGCTGGGATCGTCAGAGGCATTTAGAAGAAAAAAAGGTTTTTTTTCTTTTCAAAAAGGGTTATGCTGCTGTCTGGAGAATTCTGGGAGTTGAAGTCCACAAGTCTTAAAGCTGCCACGTTTGAAGACCTCTGCTCTATACTCTTGTCCCCATACCTGGATATGGGTTTTGCCCGCGAGTCATGATTTCATAAAGAAGGATGCCGAAGGACCACACATCAGATTTGATGGAGTAGCATCCGCAGGAAAGGCCTTCCGGTGCGGTCCATTTGTAAGGAAAGCTGTGTGAGTAAGAGAGGTATATATCTTCCTGCAAAGACAGAAACATAAGGTCATCCATTTTGTACAAAGTCTTTGGAAAACTCGGCATTTCTTGATCCCCAAAATGGGGTCTGTTCAGACAAGGTCCAGCCAGGAGAGCGCGTGTGTGGGGCCACGATCCGCACCTTCTGAACACTATAAGTAGTCCTCGACTTGCAACGGTGTGTTTAGTGACTGTTCAAAGTTCCAACGGCACTGAACAAAGTGACTTATGACTGTTTTTCACGCTTATAACTGTTGCAGCATCCCCATGGTCCAAGGATCAAAATTTGGATGCTTGGCAACTGGTTCATATTTATGACGGTTGCAGTGTCCCCGAGTTACGTGATCCCCTTTTGCGACCTTCTGACAAGCAAAATCGGTGGGGAAGCCAGATTCAGTTAACAACCATGTTAGTAACTTAACAAATGCAGTTTATTCACTTAACCACTGTGGTAAGAAAGGTCATAAAATGAGGTAAAATTCACTTAACGAATGTTTCGCTTAGCAACAGAAATTTTGGGCTCAATTGTGGTTGTTAAGTTGAGGAGTATTTGTAATGTCAGGGATATATTACATTCCTTTTTATTTTTCATATTATTCTTAATTTGCATTAGTTTTTTTTACCTTTATACTTTTAAACATCACTAAAAGTTATAAAAAAAAACTGACCAATCTCCATCCCTAACTTTTCAGCAGTAATAAAATATATATTGACCAATCTAAACCTTTCTATATATACATCTATAGAGCAATGCCAAATACGTTTATGCAGTATAGAGAGATCTCAATCTGTCTGTCTGTCTATAATATCTATCTATTTTTCTATCTATCTATCTATCTATCTATCTATCTATCTATCTATCTATCTATCTATCTATCTATCAGCTAACATTTATCTACCATCTACCATCTATCTACCTATTATTCATATCTCATCTTTCTCTCTCTCTCTCTCTCTATCATCTATCTATATCTATCTATCTATCTATCATCTATCATTTATCTACCATCCATCTACCATCTATCTATTATTCATCTCCTCATCTCTCTCTCTTCCTATCATTTATCTACCATCCATCTACCAATCTATCTATTATTCATCTCTCTCATCTCTCTCTCTCTTCCTATCATCTATCTATCTCTATCTATCTATCATTCCTCTCTCTCTCTTTTCCTCCCTCCCTCCCTCCCTCCCCGTCTCTCTCTCTCCCATCAACCCTTATACTATTTTATTTTAACCTACTAGTTTGATTGGACATATTCATCCTGCAATTTGGCCTTTCTGGATTAAATTCTATTTTTCTGGATGCTTTTGAGTCTCAGAAGGATTGAAAAGTACCTCGATCAGCCTGGCCATCCCGAAATCTCCCACTTTGCAGATGTTGTTTTCTCCCACCAGGACGTTCCTGGCAGCCAAATCCCGATGGATGAAATTCTGCGATTCCAGGTAGCTCATCCCCTCGGCCACCTGAGCAGCCAAGCTGACCAGCTCCACCATCTCCATCTGTTTCCCCTCTGGACCTGGGAAGAAACGGACAGTTACATGAGAACCTGCTGGACCATGAGGTGTTTTTCCCAAAAAGTTTCACTTATTTTTTGGATGGAGATAAGAAGAGGCGTCATCTTGCACATGGAGCTCAGAGAAAGACAGATTAACAGATTAACAGAGTTGGAAGAGACCTTATAGGTCATCTAGTCCAACCCCAATATAGGTCATCTAGACAACCCAGGACCCATGGGCACCAAAAGGTGTCTCCCACTATGGGGACCACAAACTAGTGGGCCAGATGTTTCTAGCCTGAAATTCAAATTCAGCTGTTCTGATGTTGGGCAATTCCTGTCTGAATAAAAAACATTGGGTATTAAGAAATAATTCAAAAATTTCAGCAACCAGTTGCTGGGTGGGCATGGCCATGGGAGCATGCTTTACTTGGCCTCCTGCACCACAGAGGGGGGGCTTTGCACCCTCCCCAGGCTCTGGCGGCTTTCCCCGAGCCTCCAGGGGAGCGAAAACGGCCTTCTCTGGGCACTGGAGGACTTTCAGTGGCCCTCCAGAGGCCGGAAACGGGCCTGTTTCCGGACTTCCGGTACTTCCAGTAGGCCCATTTTTCACCCTCCCAGAGCCTCCGCACGCACCCTGCACTTACCTGGCATCCAAAACGGGCCGCGTGGAGACTCCTGGGAGAGGTGGAGCGGGGTGGGAGGGATCAGCCAGTCCTTGGAACAACCGGATTAAAATTAACATCCGGCTTGCCCGAATTCCAAACTGGCTGAATCCCACCCCTTAATTCAAGGTGGCAAACATATCCAGCACACCTTTCTCCTCCTAATTTTCCCAAAACGACAATCCTGTGAGGCGGGTTGGGCTTGAGAGAGTTGCTGGCCCGGAATCATCCAGTTGGCTTTCATAACTTAAGGTGGGACTAGAACTCACTGTCGCCTGGTGATTGGCCAAAATCACCCAGCCAGCTTTTATGCCTAAGGCAAGACTAGAACTCCCACTCTCCTGGGGATTGGCCCAAAGTCACCCAGCTGGTTTTCATAGCTGAGGCGGGACTTGAACTCACACTCTCCTACTTTCTATGCCTTAACCACTAGACTCACGGGGTGTCAAACTCGCTGCGTCACGTTGCCATCATGTGATGTTTCACAATGTTTTTCCCCTTTGCAGAGCTGGGGTGGGCATGGCCTATGCGTGACACATCTGGCCCGCGGGCCGCCAGTTTGACACCCCTGACTAGACTGAACCTCTAGACTAACGTAAATTTTTTCATATTATTTTAATTTAAAAAAGGAGGGCTATCTGCAGCATCTGTGTGTTTGTGTGTGTGCGTGTGCGTGTGCGTGTGCGTGTGCGTGTGTGTGTGTGTATTTTAGGAAAGTCAAGATGACTTCATCCCACACAACTGAAGTCTCATGCCTTTTTGCATTGGCTTTTTTGGCTGCCGCCGAACACCGTTGGAATATCTTGGAAAGAGGAAAAAAGACCAGGTGTGGGCTTCAAAAATTTTAGCAAGGGGTTCTCTGCCTGGTTGCTGGGTGGGCGTGGCCGTGGTGGGCATGGCCTAGTCAGCCTCCTGCACCACGGCGGGGGGGGCGTTTTTGCCCTCCCCAGGCTCCCGAGGCTTTTCTCAAGCTTCTGGGAAGCTAAAATGGCCTCCCAGGCTTCTGAGGCGCGCTGGAGGCCGGCCTTCCCGAACTTCTGGTAGGCCCGTTCTTACGATGCCCTTTTCTGTCATTTTGGTAAAATCTAGGCTTGGCTACGGATCTCTCTGGGCAACGGGGTGGAACCAGGAAAAAGGCGATGGCCTTACCCCTCAGGAACGAGAGCAGGTTTCCTTTGCTCATGATTTCGGTGATGATGTAGACCGGATCCCCGGCCGAGCAGATGGCGTAGAGGGAGAGAATGTTTTTGTGCTTCAACAGCCTCAGGGCCTCGATCTCGTTTTTGAAGGTATCCTGGGACGTCAGATCGGCTGGGATGGGAGAAAAGTAAATGTAAATGTAAATTAGGGATGCGGCGGCTCAGTGGCTAAGACACTGAGCTTGTCGATCAAAAGGTCGGCAGTTCAGCGGTTCGAATCCCTAGTGCCGCGTAACGGGGTGAGGTCCCATTACTTGTCTCAGCTTCTGCCAACCTAGCAGTTCGAAAGCAGGTAAAAAATGCAAGTAGAAAAATAGGGACCACCTTTGGTGGGAAGGTAACAGCGTTCCGTGCGCCTTTGGCATTGAGTCATGCTGGCCACATGACCACGGAGACATCTTTGGACAGTGCTGGCTCTTCGGCTTTGAAACGGATATGAGCACCGCCCCCTAGAGTCGGGAACGACTAGCACAAATGTGCGAGGGGAAACTTTACCTTTACCTTTAAATGTAAATTGCTCCCTTCTGGTACAGCTCAGCTCCTGACTACTTTCTGGGTATACAGGTAATCCTTGATTTACGACCACAATTGAGGCCTGCTGTAACTTCAAACAGCCACTAAGTGAGCAGTCGTAAGTCGAGGACTACCTGTATTTTTAAAAGGGGGTGGGGCTTCATTTGCATTAAAAGCCCCAGTGGATGGATCTCGTCATCTGACTCTTTCATTTCTACGGCTCGACTTTACCTCTCTGTAACACCTTGATAGCCACTTTCACTTTCTCTTTCCAAAGTCCCTCGTAGACGTCTCCAAAGAAGCCGGAGTCCAACTTCCGGATCAGACGGAATTCGTCTTTGGGTCTCTCCCAATCGTCCCAGTGGGGCATGGACTTTGGCTCAGGCTTGGGTCAAAAAGAAAGTCCAGATGGGGTTAATTTTCTCCAAGATTTATTTTGTGTACCATTTGCAACTGTTGTTCTTCCAATTACAGCTAGTCCTCATACTTATGACCATTTGTTTAGTGACCGTTTGAAGGTACAACGGCACTGAAAAAAGTGAAGGACCGTTTTTCACATTTATGACCATTGCAGCGCCCCCCCCAATGGTCACGTGATCAAAATTCGGCTGCTTGGCAACTGATTCATTTTTATGACGGTCGCAGTGTCCCGGGGTCACGCGATCCCCTTTTTTGCGACCTTCTGACAAGCAAAGTCAATGGGGTGAAGCCAGATTCGTTTTACAACCGTGTTACTAATGTAACAACTGCAGTGCTTCGCTTAACGACTGTGGCAAGACAGGTTGTAAAGCAGGGCAAAACTCACTGAGCAACGGTCTTGCTTAGCAACATAAATTTTGAGCTCAGTTGTGGTTGTAAATCGGAACTATGCATATCACTTTCCCTGCTTTTTTTTTTTTGCAAAAGAAAAGAAAAAGAAAAACGGTTGCAAACTTTCATTTTCTGCATGTAGTTTTAGGATGCTGAATGCTGATATTGTGCAACCTTAAATGGAAAACTTCTTTTTAAACAGAAGTTTCTCTTTGTTGGGGGGTGGGAGCACATCGGGTCCCTGCAGGAAGGCTGCCATTCTAAAGGGGAGGGGGGGCTGCATCTTGGGGTTGAATGGTTTGCATCAGGAGTGAAATGCTCCTGGTTTAGACCGGATTGCCCGATCCGGTAGCAATGGCGGGTGGTTCGGAGAACCAGTAGCAAAAATCCCTGCTCCCCACTTGCCCAGCTTAGCTGCGCGATCATCAGAGGCTGTTTTTTTTACTTTTAAAAGCATTTTTTCCTGCAACCTTTCGGCCGAAAAAATGCTTTTAAAAGTACAAAAAAAACCAAAGCCTCTGATGATCATGCGCCTCGTCAAAGGCTTCTAAAAGCATTTTTTTTCTGCAACCTCTTCGGCCGAAGAGGTTGTAGGAAAAAAAAATGCCTTTAAAAGCCTCTGGCGATCCCAGCTGAGTTGCCTGATCGTCAGAGGCTTCTAAAATCATTTTTTTTTGCAACCTTTTAAGGATGTAGAAAAAATGCTTTTAAAAGTAAAAAAAAAAAAAAAGTTGGCCACGCCCACCCAGTCACATTACCCCACCCACCCACCCACCAAGCCACGCCCACAGAACCGTAGTAACAAATTTTACATTTCACCACTGATTTGCATGCTTTTGCTTTTGCTGTAACCATTTGGGGAATTGTGGGGGGGGGGAAGTGGGCCAGCAGGATGCCTCCTCTCCCAGCCGGTTCCATCCTGTTATCACCATCCCACCTCGGAGATCTCACAACACCTTTGCGGCATCGGATTGGCTAATTGTGGACATGGGGTATCGCGTGGGGGCTGAACAGGGGAAATTAGCTCAACGCTTCCCGCGGGAGAATTTTCAGCCTCCGTCGTCCGACTTCTCTGCAATCTCATTAAAAGTTCCTTTTGAAATACAGGCTGTCCTTGGCCAAATGCTCTTTGCTTGCGTGGGGGTTTGTCTCCAGGGAGGAATTTCAATCCCTCTTTTCTCCAGTTCACTTGTGGGTTCCATTTTTTTTTTCAGCTGCTAGGCCAACCTCAGGACGAGGGGGTCTCTCCATCCCTGGCGCTACTATGACGCTCAGAGTCACTGAGTGGGGCCCCATTTGATCTCCCAGGTGGTGAAAGTGGCGGGGAGGCCTCCCATGACTGAGCCATCCAGTTGGCAAAAGGCGAATGGGGTTTTTAGCCTTCGCAGGCAAAGAATAGAATAGAATAGAATAGAATAGAATAGAATAGAATAGAATAGAATAGAATAGAATAGAATAGAATAGAATAGAAAACAGAGTTGGAAGGGACCTTGGAGGTCTTCTAGTCCAACCCCCTGCCCAGGCAGGAAACCCTACACAACTTCAGACAAATGGTTATCCAATCTCTTCTTAAAAATTTCCAGTGTTGGAGCATTCACAACTTCTGGAGGCAAGTTGTTCCACTGATTAATTGTTCTAATTGTCAGGAAATTTCTCCTTGGTTCTAAATTGCTTCTCTCCTTGATTAGTTTCCACCCATTGATTCTTGTCCTGCCTTCAGGTGCTTTAGAGAATAGCTTGACTCCCTCTTCTTTGGGGCAGCCCCTGAGATACTGGAACGCTGCTATCATGTCTCCCCTAGTCCTTCTCTTCATTAAACTAGGCATACCCAGTTCCTGCAACCGTTCTTCATATGCTTTAGCCTCCAGTCCCCTAATCATCTTTGTTGCTCTTCTCTGCACTCTTTCTAGGGTCTCTACATCTTTTTTACATTGTGGCGACCAAAACTGAATGCCATATTCCAAGTGTGGCCTTACCAAGGCATTATAAAGTCGTATTAACACTGTTCAAGATCCACAGCCTCTCTACCAGGGCAGGCCTCACTAAGCATCTGGTGCACCCCAAGTCTAGAAAGGCCTTTAAGGACACTCTCTGCCCTCTCCACAGGTGTCATATCTCTAATAAAAAGCCAATGCAATCCTAAATTGCATTAACAGAGGGATACAATCAACATCAAGGGAGGTACTAATACCACTCTATAAAGCCTTAGTAAGACCACACCTAGAGTACTGCATCCAGTTTTGGTCACCACACTATAAAAGAGGATGTTGAGACTCTGGAAAGAGTGCAGAGAAGAGCAACCAAGATGATTAGGGGACTGGAAGCTAAAACCGACGAAGAAAGGTTGCAGGAACTGGGCATCAGTGGTGGGTTGCCCCCGATTCGGACTAGTTCTATAGAACCGGTAGTAAAATCAGCGGGAGGCTCCGCCCACCAACCCTGATGTCATCAGAACGCTTCTGCACATGCGCAGAAGAGCGCGCGCACGTGCGAGCAAAACTAGTGTAGGTGCTCGGCCCCGTTGCAAACCAGTAGTAAAGGTAGGTAGAACCCACCACCGTTGGGCATGGCTAGTCTAGTGAAGAAAAGGACCAGGGGAGACATGATAGCAGTCTTCCAGTATTTGAGGGCCTGCCACAGAGAGGAGGAAGGGGGTCAAGTTATTCTCCAAGGCACCTGAAGGCAGGACAAGGAACAATGGATGGAAGGTGATCAAGGAGACATTCAACCTGGAAATAAGGAGAAATTTTCTGACAGTGAGAACCATCATCCAATGGATCAGAAGTTGCCTTCGGAAGTTGTGGGAGCTTCATCACTGGAGGCTTTCAAGAAGAGACTGGACTGCCATCTGTCAGAAATGGTGTAGGGTGTCCTGCTTGGGCAGGAGGGGGAATTGGACTAGATGACCTACAAGGTCCCTTCCGACTCTCTTAATCTAATCTTAGTCTAATCTCTAGGGGTCATGGGAGCAATTAGGCCACTTACCAAAGGGTCGTCATCGAAATCGGTATCGGTCGACCACTGGTCTTCCTCCGGTGAGGTCAGAGTTCCCTCGTCTCGTTTAAGCGAGGGGGTGAACTTCACCATGTTCCAGCTTTCCAAGGCCGTCTGCTTCGCGCGCGGTTGCTGCTTTGTGGCTTTTCTCCCCCGTGTTTGGTCCCTGTTCTTAGCAGGGTACTTAGCTCGGCACTCCGCTGGTTGGTGACCCTCAGTGCCATACTTGAAGTAGGTGGTGGAGCGTGTTGGCTGGACTTGGGCTTTGGCTGTGTCTCTCTTCCTCTCCGTAGGCGATCTCTTCCACACTGTGCTCGAGCGGTACCAGTTTCAGGCTAGGTCGATCTCCACTTCTTTGGCTAGCATGTACCAGTCCTGGAGACAGGCTGGGTCTCCTCTCACGACACAAGCAGTGTACAGGTCATGATTTAGCCCATCTTTGAAGTAAGTCACTAGAACGACTTCGGGCCAGTCGAGCCGATAGGCTAGGTTTCGAAATTCGTCAGTGTACTCAGCCACCCACTGGCGACCCCTGCCGCATGTTTTTTATGCGGTCTCAGGCTTCGCGATTGGCCAGGGGGGGTCTTCAAATTCCTGTCATAGGACCATCATGAATCGGTTGAAGTTTCTCAACTCAGGGGGTTTCGCATTGTGGAGGCTGACCATCCAACTAGCCACGGCCCCCTCTAGTGCCAGCGTGACAACTGTCACCTTGGCTCTTTCGGTGGAGAATTCCTGGCCATAATCCTGCATGTACATGAGAACGTGGACCAGGAAGACTTGAGGGTCTCCATCGAACTTCACACTGAGAGGGGGGAGTCTCCTCTTCATCCTCTTCATCCTCTTCGTCCTCCAGCTCCTCTTCCCACTCACGTTGATGACTGTCTCGGGCGAGGTTGACTCCCTCTGTCCTCCCGTCCCAGTCATTCTTCTTTCCAATGCCTATGGCACACCTAGGTTTGGCTGAGTCCCGCAGGCTCACAGCTTTCTCCGTCTGTCTGGTAGGGTTTTCTCCTGGGTGGGCTTTTGTGAAGGCTTTCCACCAGCACTCAGCTTCCTCCTGGTCTCTGCCTTGAGTAGACATCGTTTGCACGGTCCCTACGGTACGACAGATGCCTCTCCGGGTTGACCTTTTTTTGCAGATTTCGCCTAATGTAAGGACCTTCGCCTAATGTCTCAGCTACCTTCTCAGGAAAGGATGGCTTTTGAAACTATTAGCATTCCAAAAGGCACTTTTACTGAGAGAAACTAGGTGGAGTCTGAAAGTTCCCGCGCGAAGCGTTGAGCTAATTTCCGCTGTTCAACCCCCACCCGGTACCCCATGTCCACAATTAGCCAATCCAATGCCGCCAAGGTGTTGTGAGAACTCCGAGGTGGGATGGTGATAACTGGCTGGAACCGGCTGGGAGAGGAGGCATCCGGCTGGCCCACTCCTCCCCCTTAATTTGCAGTTATAGCAAAAGGGAAAGAATGCAAACCGTTCAACCCCCCAAGATGCAGCCCCCCTCCCCTTTAGAATAGCAGCGTTCCAGCAGGGACCTGACAGATTGCCGTATTATTTTCACAGCTGTATCCCGCCTAACAACCAGGGAAACATTTTCTTGTGAGCCTTGTTTAAGGATGTGCTTAGGATCCTTAAATTCCTAAATCATCCAATGGTAGCCCACAGAGATCCTATTTCCTCGGACAGCGCTGATTGATTGCTCCCTTCGTCAAAGGAGATCCAGTTGCCAAGACAATGTTTTCCTAAACAAATAATTCCCTCAACACTGTCAAACTATTCACTAAGTCTGCGCTACTATTAGTCTTCTCATCGTTCCCACCACCCATCACCTCCCACTTATGACTGTATGACTGTAACTTTGTTGCTTGTATCCTTACGATTTATATTGATATTGTTTCCTGATTGCTTATTTGTACCCTATGACTATCATTAAGTGTTGTACCTTATGATTCTTGATGAACATATCTTTTCTTTTATGTACACTGAGAGCATATGCACCAAGACAAATTCCTTGTGTGTCCAATCACACTTGGCTAATAATAATAATAATAATAATAATAATAATAATAATAATAATAATAATAATAATAATAATAATAATAATAATAATAATTTTATTTCTATACCACCCTTCTCCTGAAGGACTCAGGGCGGTGTACAGCCTATTAAAAGCACAAGACAAACATCAGTTAAAATAATTTAAAATTATTAAATAATTCGGCTCAATTTAAAACCCCAGAAATTTTTTTATTCTATTCCAAACTTGGCAACTTTAAGAGGTGTGGACTTCGACTCCCAGAAGTCCACAGCCAGTATGGCTGGGCTGAAGAATTCTGGGAATTGAAGTCCAGACATTTTAAAGTGGCGGAGATAGAGAAACAGGGTGCTAAGGTGAGCAGAGTGCCACCTGGTGGACATATCGGTCAGCTCACGTCAACAGCTGTACCACAGCAAAGCTGGTTTGAGGGGGCAGATTGAGGGGAGAAAGTGTTGTTTAAGACCCCGAGGCACAAAAATAAATTCAAAATATCAACATTAAAAATCAAATAAAAATAGAAAGGCCTCCAAATATTCCACTCCACTCATTCTGAAGGAGGAATCGAACAAAGAATACTAGAAATCACTCCCTGGTTGTATTTTTATATACATACAGTAAATACATGTCAGTAGCCAAGCACCTGAATTTTCATCACGTGACCTCCAGTGGTTGTAAGTGAGAGGACCAGCCACAGGTCACTTTTTTCAGTGCCGTTGTAACTTTGAATGGTCGCTAAACGAATGCTTGTAAGTCAAGGACTACCTTTATCGCTACCCATCTCGTCTTAAAGTTGCTATGGTTGAGACTGGCCTGCACCAGGAGTGGGTTCTACTTATCTTTACTACCGGTTTGCAGCGGGGCCATGCGCACATGCTCACTTCGATCATGCACACACGTATGCTCTTCTGCGCATGTGCAGAAGCATTTTGATGATGTCAGAGTCAGTGGGCGGAGCCTCCCTCCGGTTTTACTACGAGTTCTATAGAACCGGTGCGAACCGGGGGCAACCCACCACTGGCCTCCAAATATATAAACAATAGCAATAGCACCAGTGGTGGGTTGCCCCCGGTTCGGACCGGTTCGCAAGAACCGGTAGTAAAACCTGCGGGAGGCTCCGCCCACTGACCCGGACGTCATCAGAAGTGATCTGTGCATGTCTTGGTGGGCGTGACTTGGTGGGCATGGCAGGGGAAGGATACGGTAAAATCTCCATTCCCACCCCACCCCAGGGAAAGGATATTGTAAAACCTCCATTCCCTCCCCAATCCAGGGGAAGGATATTGTGGAAAGGATATTGCAAAATCTCCATTCCCACCCCACCCCAGGGAAAGGATATTGTAAAACCTCCATTCCCTCCCCAATCCAGGGGAAGGATATTGTGGAAAGGATATTGCAAAATCTCCATTCCCACCCTACTCCAGGGGAAGGTTACTGCAAAATCCCCATTTCCTCCCGATCAGCTGGGATTTGGGAGGCAGAGAATAGATGGTGGTGGGGCCAGTCAGAATTTTTACTACCGGTTCTCCAAACTACTCAAAATTTCCGCTACCGGTTCTCCAGAACTGGTCAGAACCTGCTGAAACCCACCTATGGAACTGGTAGTAAAGGTAAGTAGAACCCACTCCTGAATAGCACTTAGACTTATATACCACTCCATAGTGTTTTATAGCGCTTTTTAAGCGGTTTTAGAAGTGAGCTTATTGCCCCAAACAATCTGGATCCTCATTTTACCAACCTCAAAAGGAAGGGAGGCTGAATCAACCTTGAGCAGATAAGAATTGAACTGCTGGCAGTCGGTCGAATTAGAATGCAATACTCCATTCTAACCGCTGCACCACCATGGCTCAAACAATGCAGATAATATGCAATAGATGAGTGCAATATTGATACATGCCATACATGCATGCAAACAGTGCATGCCATGTACAACTGTGCCAGTCCCCACCCAACCCCAGATGAAGATCAGCAGCTGTAGGTCAGAGGTGTCCAATTTCGGCACCTTTAAGATTTGTGGACTTCAACTCCCAGAATTCCCCAGCCAGATATGCTTTGGCAACATGCTGGCTGATGAATTCTGGGAATTGAAGTCCACAAGTCTTAAAGTTGCCAAGCTGCAAGGCATTCTGTGCCCAGCCTTCTCTCACCTTGTAGCAGGGAGCCAGAAGTTTCAAGCCGTGAGTAAGAACCTTTTCCTTGTAACACGTCACCAGGGTGAGCAGGTCCGGGAATGTCCTCGTCCCGTTCATGTAGAACCTCCCCTCACCGTTTCGCAAGATCTTGTAATGTCTGGTCAAGTGGCCATCACGGACTGTGAAATTCAGGGAAGCAAATTTAAAGCAAAGCAAGAGAACACTATTATTTATTTATTTATTTGTTTGTTTGTTTGTTTGTTTGTTTGTTTGTTCAATTTATATGCTGCCCTTCTCCAGAGACTCAGGGTGGCTTACAATGCATTAAGCAATAGCCTTCATACTTTCGTATATACCTGCTTAGTAGGGCTTTCAGCCCCCCCTAAGCGGTGTTCTTTTTTATACAAAGTCAGCTTATTGCCCCCACAAATCGGGTCCTCATTTTACCTACCTCGGAAGGATGGAAGGCTGAGTCAACCTTGAGCCTGGTGAGATTCGAACTTGCAGTAATTGCAGGCAGCTGGTGTCACTTAATACCACTTTAATCTGCTGCGCCACCAAGGCTCTTGGTGGGGCAGGGGATTCAGAAACCCCCCTCTCTTTAAAGGTTTTGGTCGCTTCCTGTTCCCATAAGAAAGAGGGGATAGGATGCTGGCTTGCTGGGGGCTGCATTCAGGGGTGGGCTTCAAAAATTTTAGCAAGGGGTTCTCTGCCCGGTTGATGGGTGGGCGTGGCCATGGTGGGCGTGGCCTAGTCGGCCTCCTTCACCATGGCAGAAGGGGCATTTTTGCCCTCCCTGGGCTCCGGAGGTTTTCCTTGCGCCTCCGGGAGGATGAAAACGGCCTCCCCGGGCTCCAGAGGCCCTCTGGAGGCCAGAAACAGACCCATTTCCGGCCTTCCCGAATTTCCAGTAGGCCTGTTTTTCGCCCTCCCCGAGCCTCCACGCATGCCCTGCACTTACCTGTATCCAAAACAGGCCATGTGGGGACTTCTGGGAGGGGTGGGGTGGGTTGGGCGGGGCCAGCCAGGAGTGGGATTTCGGGATTCTCGGAACTGCACAGAATCTTAGCTAGAGGTTCTCCCGAACCCCTCCGAACCCCCAGCAGCCCACCGCTGGCTGCAAATGAGGTGATTTGCAGAATATTTTTGCTTTGATGGTGACACATCCTGTTTGCAATGGGTGGGGGAAAAAAAACTGGGTTCCAGGGGCTAAGGGGTAAAGAGGATCCTGGAATAAGAAATTAGGATTGTTTAGGAATTGAGCACATGGCAACATCTAGCCAGCCTTGATTGAACGTAAATTAAACTAAGCCAGGCCAGAGCTGGCTACTATTTGGATGGGAGACCGTGAGGAAATCTTCTAGGCAGGGTTGCAAAATCAAAATATGATCTTGGAAGAAAGGGATGACAAACCACTCCAGTCCTACTGGCCAAGAAAACAAGGGCGTGTGCACAGAGCCATCCTGTGCCTTTAGTTTACCTTTGGGAAACTGGCAAGGAGACGCAGAAATACTTATTGAAAATGTTTCCAATTCTTGCTCAGTTTGAATTGCCTTATAGAATAGGAATGGAAAGAGAGAAAGAGAGAAAGAAAGAGAGAGAGAGAGAGAGAGAGGAAGGAAGGAAGGAAGAAAAAAGAAAGAAAGGGAAAGAAAGAAGAAAAAAAGAAAAGAAAGAGGGAGGGAGGGAGGAAAGAATTAAAAAAGGAAAAGATGGAGGAAGGGAGGGAGAGGAGAGGATGGAGGGAGGGAGGGAGGGAGGAAGGAAGGAAGGAAGGAAAGAAAGAAAAGATGGAGGGAGGGAGGGAGGAAGGAAGGAAGGAAGAAGGAAAGAAAAGATGGAGGGAGGGAGGGAGGGAGAAGCAAGGAAGCAAGCAAATCTTTGGCATCTATTTTAATGAATAGATGAATAATGAATAGATCTGTGTTTGTCCACCTCAGCAATTTTAAAATGAGGGGGATTTCAACGCCCAGAATTCTGGGAACTGAAGTCCACACATCCTAAAGTTGCTGAGGTTGCCTTAATTTAATTCTGACCATGCCCCAGAACAGGGGTCTCCAACCTTGGCAACTTTTAAGACTTGTGGACTTCAACTCCCAGAATTCCTCACCCAGCAAAGCTGGCTGAGGAATTCTGGGAGTTGAAGTCCACAAGTCCCACAAGTCTTAAAGTTGCCAAGGTTGGGAGACCCCTGCCCAGAAAGCCCCACCCTCTTTTTACACTTACCAATGTACAATGCACATTAAAAAGAGGAGTGGGCTCAATAACATGGTTGAGGTCATTATTTTGACTCTTTTAATCTTGCAGCCCTGTTTAAAAGTTTTGCAAATTCTGGCCCAAAAAGATGGGTAGCCTTTTTTTTTTATCCTTCCTTTTCATTTCCTCTCTCTTCTTAAAAGAGTTTGTTTTCGTGGATGAGTCAGATCTCCCTCAGTTTCTATTCTGAGCTGCTCCTGAGAGGCCAAAAATCCCCTAGTCATTATGGCCGCTCCTCAATTTAGGACCACAATTAAGTGACTCACGACTGATTTTTTTTTGACACAGTTATGTGGATTGGCGCAGTTATTAAGTGAATCACGCGGCCATTAAGCAAGTCTGGATTCCCCCCTCATTCTGACTCTGTTTGCCAGAAGCCAGCTGGGAAAGTCACGCATGGCGATCACGTGACACCCCTCCCCTGAGGCTTTGCAACCGTCATAGGTACATGCCAGTTGCGAAGCATCTGAATTTTGATATTGTGACCAGGGGGAGTCTGTGAAGATTCTAAATGAGGGCTGGTTGTCATTTTTTCCCCCAGTCTGCTGTTGTAACTTTGAATAGTCACTAAACCAAGGGTGTCAAACTCAAGGCCTGTGGGATGCTTAGATCCGGCCTTTGGTGCCTCTGCCAGCGAAAACGTGCTCCGTTTTTGCTGGCGGGGGGGCTATAAAACCAATGTTTCCCCTTTTTTGCATTTGAGCATGCAAGAAGGGACAGGAAAGATAACATTAACAGAGTTGGAGAAATGTTTCCCCTTTTTTGCATTTGAGCATGCAAGAAAGGACAGGAAAAATAACATTAACAGAGTTGGAAGGGACCTTGCAGGTCATCTAGTCCAACCCCATGCCTAAGCAGGAAACCCTACATCTGCCTCTGTCTAGGACAGTGATGGCTAACCTTTTTGCCATTGCGTGCCAAAAGTGGGGGGAGCGCAGGGTGGTCATGCGTGCATGTGCCCACACCCATAATGCAATGTGCCCCGTCCCCCTGTGTATGTGTACGTGACCCCCCCCCCCCGTGCCCCCCCCACTTTTGACACGTAATGGTCCGGTGGGCCCCGTAGGCCCATTTTTCGCTCTTCCCAGGCTCCAGAGCCTTTCTAGGAGCCTGGGGAGGGCGAAAACGGCCTTCCCCACCCCCCGGAGGCATGAAATGGCCTGTTTGCCAACTTCCGGTGGGCCCGGAAGGCCCGAAAATCAGCTGGTGGAGCTGAGCTCGCATGCCCATTGATACGGCTCTGGGTGCCACCTGTGGCATGCGTGCCATGGGTTCGCCATCACGGACTTAGGATCACAAAGGGAAAGAGGAAAGAAAAAGACAAAGAAGGGAAGATGGGAAGAGAGCAAGGAAGGAAAAAGAAGGAAAGAGGGGAAGGAAGAAGAAAGAATGAATGAAGAGGGAAGGAAATGGGAGAAAGGAAGGAGGGAAGGTTATAATGAGAGTGAGGGAAGGTCTGAGGGAAGTCCTGCATTAGCACTTGGGCACCACAGGTCCCCCCACATGAGCCCCACCTGCCATGGCCACACCCATCCCGACCACGACCATCCCCTGACCCTCCAAGATCAAACACAACCCTCATGCAGCCCTCAATGAAATCGAATTTGACACCCCTGCATTAAACCGACAGTTATAAGTCGAGAACTACCTGTGAAGAATTCGGAAAAGAACTCAAGAATCCTTTATGTTTTTCGCCCCACAAAGTCTTACCCGAAAGCACGAAATCCGCTCCAATTTTCTCACTGATACGAACTAGGAAAGCGCCAGATTTATTCTTTTCCGACATCAGCCGAAGGACCGCTTCCGAGCGGGAAATTTGCCCAAAGAACCATCTATGGGGATGGTAGAGGAAAAAAAGAAGTAGCAGCCATTTGCAGGGGTCTGCAACCTTAAACACTCAAAGAGCCATTTGGACCCGTTTCCCACAGAAAAGAAAACACCGGGAACCACAAAACCTCGGTGGGCATGGCCAACTCGATGTCACTCACTTTCACCAGTCACATGATCCCCCCTCAGCCACGCCTACCCAGCCGGTCATTAGGACAGAGAACCGGTTGTTAAAAAACAACGGGAACCACAAAACCCTTGCGATCTCTCTCTCCCTCTCCCTCCCTCCTCCTCCCTCTCTCTGTATCTCTCCCTCTCTCTCTGTATCTCTCTGTCTTTTCCCCGGTCGCTTCTCCATCCCCCCCGCTGTTGCCCTTACCTTCTCGCCAGGCGAGGAGTGACTGGGAGGGGAAGGTGAGGGTTGGGGCCAGCCAGTGGTGGGATCATCCAACAGGGAGCCACAGCAGAGGGCCTAAAGAGCCACATGTGGCTCCGGAGCTGCAGGTTGCAGACACCCAGCCAATTGTATCAGACCCACGTCCATCTAGTCTAACAATCTTTTTCACAATCTGGGATGGAGGGGAATGAGCAGGGGATGATGGACTGGAGAACCTTGCATTCTTGTTCCTCTCCAGTTTCTATGACATCATTGCTGTGTCTGCAGTCTCCACTTCTATAAAGCTTGGCTGACTGACTTGAGCCGTCTGTAGGCTGGTTTCTATGTGTAGCAAGTGATCTGTGTGGATCTCCCAGCAGGCTGGTTGTGGGGCTGGGAGGGAAAATTGGGGGAACTGGTGTGTTTGGAGAACACTCGGAAAGAAAGCTGAATCGGAACTTTTGTCCAATTTTTCCATGAAAAATTGTCCAAGCATTGTCCATGGAAAATTGTTGGTTATCTTCGGGAGCTGGAAGAATATTCTCATGATGATGATGATGATGTGTGTGTGTGTGTGTGTGTGTGTGTGTAATTTCAACAATCTAACCTAGTGTTTTTCAAACTTGGCCGCTTTAAGATGTCTGGACTTCAATTCCCAGAATTCCCCAGCCAGCCATACTGGCTGAGGAATTCTGGGAGTTGAAGTCCAGATATCTTAAATATGCTAAAGTTGAGAAACTCTGCTCTAATTTCTTTGGCTACTGCCCTGCCTGTGAGTGATGTGTGGACATCAACTCCCAGAATTCCCCAGCCAGCCATACTGGCTGAGGAATTCTGGGAGTTGAAGTCCAAACATCTTCAAGGTGTAAGATTGATAAACACAGTTCTAGCCTCTCTGGATGCCCCTATTCCCTGTCAATTATGTTTGGACTTCAATTCCCAGAATTCTCCAGCCCTCCCAGCCCCCCTCCCCACATTTGAAAGTGGCTAAGATTGACAAACACTGCTGTAACCTCTCTGGGTGCCCCATTTCCCTGCCAGTTATGATTCAAACCGTCTGAAAATACACCTGGATCTCAAGTTCTCCTTTCAGCTAATGTTTACTCGCACAGAACTGCATCAAGGCCTCGAATAGAATAGAATAGAATAGAATAGAATAGAATAGAATAGAATAGAATAGAATGAGGAAGAAGTAGAGTAGAGTAGAGAATAGAATTTAGCAATTGGATTTATATACAGCTTCACAGTGCTTCACAGCCCTCTCTAAGTGGTTTACAGAATCAGCCTATCTTTATAACTTTGGATGGTCACTAAATGAACGGTTCTAAAGCAAGGATTACTTGTAAGTAAAAGTGAGTTTTAGCAAAGGGTCAAAGCTTAATAGCAATAGCACTTAGACTTATATACCGCCTTACAGCACCCTCTGAGAGGTTTACAGAGCCAGCCTCTTGCCCTCAACAAATCTGGGTCCTCATTTTAGCGACCATGGAAGGATGGAAGGCTGAGTCAACCATGAGCCGGTCAGGATCGAACTACTGGCAGTGGGCAGAGTTTAATTGCAATATTGCATTCTAACCACTGTGCCACGAGGGTTCCTTAAACTTAGCCGCCAAAACCCACTGAAGATTTTTGCAGCAAAGCTAACGCAACCTGCTAGTACTTACGGCTCCGTCTCTACCGTCTCTTTCTTGGCAAGATAGCTGTAGGGAACGTAGCCTTCCTCACATATTCCCCCCAGAGCATCCACCTGCTTGGCCCAGCACCATTCCCCGGTCTTCTGAATCACTTGGAACAGGTCCCCTGCTTGGAAAGTCAACTCCGTTTCGGTTAGGGCTTGAAAATCCCACAAACTGGTATATAGAGAACATCTGGCTCCGGGCACCGGATCTGTCTTGCAAGCCATGGCGAACGCAGGATTGAAAAGAAGGAACAAATCAATGTTGGTCTGTCTCCTTTCTGTCTTCCACAGCTGCAAGTCCTGTTCACGCTAGCATAGTTTTGCAGTCCTTCTGGAATGCAGCGAAGGGATTTCTCGTAAACCCACGGAGGCGTTTACCCGGAGCAGGTAAACCCTACCAGCACAAAGTGTGCAAACTGGAAAAGCAGAGAGGGAGGGAAAGAAGCAACGGGGAAAGTCCCTTCCTGCCTTCTATTGCTAAATAAAATTTCATGAAGTATTTCAGCCCAGCCCTTTCTGACTTGTACAATGGACTTCTTTTAAAGTTTTCTTCTTTAAAATACAAAAGGTTTTTCCAGTGTGGTGGCTGAGGAAATTTATAAGCGGGCTATATACAGAATAATAGATTTAGAAGGGGCCTTGGAGGTCTTCTAGTCCAACCCCCTTCTTGTTGTGGCAGCAGATTCGGACAGTGAGGAGGTTGGGGAGGAACATGGGCCAGTCCTGGAGTCTGCGGAAGGCTCCCATGAGGGCTCTGCGTCGGAGGCAGAGAGGAGGCCAGGACCGTCTGACAGTTGTCAGCAGCCTTTGGAGTTGGACATCAGTGGGACAGAAGAACAACTGGATCCTGCTCCCAGTGTGCGCATGTTCAGAGCTGCCAGGAGAAGGGAACGGCTAAAGAACAAGGGTCGACTCAGGAGTAAAGCCACAGGTGGACGGTGAATGGCCCCTCCCATAGGGAATAAAGAGGAGAGAGAAGGGGAGTGGAGTTTGCAGGAGACAATTAGTTCATTACTGCATTCTTGCCAATTATTGCGGCCTATCTGAAAGATATCGGCCTAGCCACTCTCCAAGCCTGATAAAGGTCGGTAATTGTGAACTATCTTGAAAGACTGTGGGAGAGGAAAGACTTTGCTGGAGAGGAATTCACTGTGAATTAAATAAAAGGGGTTTATCGAGACAAGGACTCGGCCTCGTGCTGCTGGGGAAGCCTAGGTCAGAACACTTCTCAAGCAGGAAACCCTGTATCATTTCAGATAAATGGTTGTGCAAAAATTTTTTCTTGGTATTGGAGCAGCCACAACTTCGGAAGGCAAACCGTTCCCCTGATTAATTGTTCTGTCAAGAAATGTCTCCTTAATTATAAAATAATATAATTATATGAAGTATAGTTATATTCTGAGGGAAACTGGTTGCGCTCTTCCATAAATTGTGTTATGGTTTTATTGCGTTTGAATGCTTTGGGTTCTTGTGATTTATTTTTCAGATGATTTGTTATGCTGTTCTTTTAAAACTTAAGTTTGTCACCCAAAGACACGTACTGTACATGAGATGGACAGCTATATAAATTGATAACTAATTAAGTAATTAAAGGTAAAGGCTAGTTGTTCCCGACTCTAGGGGGCGGTCCTCATCTCCGTTTCTAAGCCGAAGAGCCAGCGCTGTCCGAAGACGTCTCCGTGGTCATGTGGCCGGCATGACTCAATGCCAAAGGCGCACGGAACGCCGTTACCTTCCCACCAAAGGTGGTCCCTATTTTTCTACTTGCATTTTTTACGTGCTTTTGAACTGCTAGGTTGGCAGAAGCTGGGACAAGTAATAGGAGCTCACTCCATTATGCGGCACTAGGGATTCGAACCACTGAACTGCTGGCCTTTTGATCGACAAGCTCAGCGTCTTAGCCACTGAGCCACAACGTCCCTTTACTAATCAGTAATTTGTCAATAAGTCGGTAATTAAAAAAAACCAAGGAATTTCAAAATGAGCGGCAATAAAACCAGAAAAATTTTAAAAAAACTAAAAAAAATTAAAAATCCAAAATTGATACTTTGTGTATTAGAAATTAAAAGTGAGAAATTTTTTAAAAATGTATTTATTTGATTTTGCAGACCCCCACAGAGCCCAGATCACCCTTGGAAAAGCATTGGTCTAGATCAGTGGTGGGTTGCCCCCAGTTCGGACCGGTTTGGAAGAACCGGTAGTAAAACCGGTGGGAGGACCTGCCCACCGCCCCGGATGTCGGCGATCTGCGCACACACGCGTGATCCCATTGCGAACCGGTAGTAAAGGTAAGTAGAACCCACCCCTGGTCTAGATGATCTTGTAGTGTCCTCCAACTCCATAATTCTGTGCTTCACATTTGTAAAGTTATTTGCATTTGGCCTGAGATCTTCTTTCTCCTTTCAAAGTGACTCAAGAGAGCAAACTCTCTCCCATTTGCTTCAGTGGAATCTGTAAATAAGATCAAAGCGTGGAGAACTCCTCCTCGGCTCTCATAAAGATCAGTTGATCTAACTAAGTGAAGGTTCAATCTGGAATTAACCCCTCCCGTCCTGACTGAGAAAGTGATCTCATTCTCCCCAGCCACTCCCTGATGAAAAGACACCTGTAGGTCACCTGTTTTGGGGTGAGAGGGGGTGTGTGAGAGGAAGATCCCTTTCCGACTTTGTGGGGAATATCACAGGAGATAAGATTGAATTGGAAGATTCTTGTTTTATTGCAACCCACAGCCTGTCTTGTAATCCTCAGCATTTTTGCTCTGTTCTGTCAATCTGGCTTTGCAACCTCCGAAGGCGTTTTTTGGCAGAGGTGGTATTCAGCCGGTTCGGACCAGTTTGCCCGAACTGGTAGCGGAAAACACACTCATAGAGCCCAGGCTCTATGCCAGTGGTGGGTTGCCCCCGGTTCAGACTGGTTTGCAAAAACCGGTATTAAAACCGGCGGGAGGCCCCGCCCACGCCCACCACCCCAGATGTTGTCATTGGTGATCTGCGCATGCGCAGAAGAAATCCCGTTGCGAACTGGTAGTAAAGGTAAGTCGAACCCACCCCTGCTCTATGCCAGTGTTTCCCAAACTTGACCCTTTGAAGATGTATGGACTTCAACTCCCAGAATTCCTCAACCAGGCATACTGGTTGGGGAATTCTGGGAATTGAAGTCCATGCATCTTAAAATAGCCAAGTTTGGGAAACACTGCTCTATGCCAACCTATTTAGGCACATTTTTGAGGCCAAGTGCATGTGCGGAAAGCATGCACGTGCACGAACCGGGCGAACTGGTAGTAACATAATCTGAAACCCACTGCTGGTTTTTGGGTAGATTTCAGCAAAAAGACCCCTCTTTTTGTTCACTGTTATCTGCATCAGTCAGTGCTTCCCAAACTCAGGAAATTTAAGACCTGTGGACTTCAACTCCCAGAATTCTGGGAAATGCTGGCTGAGGAATTCTGGGAGTTGAAGTCCACAGGTTTTCCAGTGGCTGAGGTTGTGAAACCCTGCTGAACAATAAGAATGCAAAATGATTAAGAAGATGCTTGCACAGGGAGGCATCTTGGGCCCGGCCTTGATATGAGCTCAGCCTCTGTTCATTAATATATTAGATTTGTTTGCCACTCATTTTGCCTAATTAAAAAAAGGCATTTATTTTATTCATCAGTTATAAATTGTGCTAATCAAGAAATTCACAATTGATCCATAAAATAAATTATGAATTTCCCAATTAACCAAATTTATTTTTGATCAATTGCATATTTGTTTATAAAACAAATGTATTTCCTTGATAAATTACATTTTTACTTTTTATTTTAAAAAGGTATGTATTTTATTGATACATGATACACTTGTTTATTAACTAAATTTATTGATGAAGTATACATTTATTTACTTATTTACTTATCAAAATTATTTATTTAACAGTAACAGTTCTGTTCACCCCTGGCAGCGATATTAGATTGATGCCCCAAAGAGAGTTGGTTTGGGTTCAACTTCCTTTTTACACCTAATGATCCGTTCAAGACAGAAAATAGGATTAATTAGAGCTGGAAAAATCCCCACCACCACTAGAGGTCAGCAAATCATTCTCTGTGGGGGTTTTTTGCAGCCATCTAGTGGCCAAGCAGAGTTTTGCAGAGCAGACGCGGTAGAACTAAATTAACCCACTGCTTCCTTGGTTTGCCCGCAAACAATTGCAGGAATCATCACCATAGAAAAGGGTAAATGACTGGCGTATAAACCAACAGTTGATAAACCCGGGTTAAAAAAATGCACACGTGCTAAATTTTCAGAATAAAGAAATGTTTGCTTGTAAGAGCAGCTGGATTAGGAACTGCAATGCAGGTGACAACGGATAGAGGGCACAGCATTGAAATCTCTTTAGCTTCTCCTTTGAGCGGCTAGTACGTCACAGATGGGGCGGAGACCGTAAACCGAAACTTGCTAATTTCCCTGCGATGCCACCCAGGATGCATTGCACAGCAAAAATATGAGATTTTAGGGGGATTTTCTATTTTTACCTCCAATTTATTTATTTGTTTATTTATTTGTTCGATTTATATGCCGCCCTTCTCCGGAGACTCAAGGCGGCTTACAATGCGTTAAGCAATAGCCTTCATACTTTTGTATAGACCTGCTTAGTAGGGCTTTTGCCCCCCCCCCACAAGCAGTGTTCTTTTTTTTATACAAAGTCAGCTTATTGCCCCCACAATCTGGGTCCTCATTTTACCTACCTCGAAAGGATGGAAGGCTGAGTCAATCTTGAGCCTGGTGAGATTTGAACTTGCAGTAATTGCAGGCAGCTGGTGCTAGTTAACAGCACTTTAGTCTGCTGCGCCACCAAGGCTCTTATTGCGATGGATTGATTGGAAGATGACATTTTTTGGCATCAAAATGTGTGCATGTTGGCCACATCTATGGAGCTTTCTTGGAACCCACCCCCTCCCAAAAAAACCCAAAGCCATTTTTTTTCCATTGCCATCTTTTTGGATGTTTTTCTTTAACTTTAATTTTAGGATTACCCAGTGGTCCCTCATCCAAGTACTAACTGGCTTCTGGCTTCCGGCGTCCCGATATAGCCAGCTGACGCCATCGCTGGCTATTGGGGGCGAATCACTCGCCCCCACGGAGAGGGCTCGTAACTTGGGCGTCCTCCTGGACGCACGGCTGTCTTTAGAAGATCATTTGACGGCCGTGGCCAGGGGGGCTTTTTATCAGGTTCGCCTGATACGCCAGTTGCGCCCCTTTCTAGATCGGGACTCCCTACGCACAGTCACTCAGGCACTCGTCACTTCCCGCCTGGACTACTGCAACGCTCTCTACATGGGGCTCCCCCTGGGGTGCACC